TTTTTTCTTTTTTGTCTTCATATGACCTCTTACTGATCAAATAGGTAGAACTTCAAGGTGAAATATCAAGATTGTGTTCACTTCTACATTCGCAATTGCCACCTTTGAGTTCTCTCGTGACAGTGATAAGGAGTAAAAAACTAGAGAAGATTGAGAAGCATATATAAATATGTAGCCTCCAAAATAGCTCACAATATTGTTCTTAAAGAACATAGAAAAAAAAAGTCCAAATACAGTATATACTACTGGCAGCTATAATTACAGCTGTTTTTCAGGGTATCTAGCAAACTATAGGCTTTCCTTGAGGAACCTTTGTTATATTTAATACACATGTAGACACATATATATTGAAGTATCAACAAGACTGCATAACTGCAAAGATTAATCAGAACAAATGTAATTTTCAACAACAACAAAAAAAAGTGTGTATTTTTGTATATCTATTTTGCTTAGTTCTTTGGGGTCCTTTGTGGGATTTTTGTTTGGTTGGTTTTGGTTTTTGTTTGGTTCTGGGTTTGGTTTTTTTTTGTTTAAAATCTTCCATTATTTTCACTGTATTATCGAATACTATGATGCAACCATATAGGATATCTTTGAATAATCCCATTGTTCTATATGAAGGTCTGCAAACTTTGTTTTCACAGAGAATTGTATTTCACCATTCAAGAAAGCAGGATGGATTTAGTTTCCCAGATATCATTGGAAAAGAAACTGACTTCATAAACTTGAAGACAAATAACTGCTTCTTTGCTGAATAGTGCAATTCTCTTCACTTTTCCATGAGTATTTACATGTTAAATCAGGTCTCTAATAAGTTTTGTAACTGCTTTTTATTAAAAATTTTATCTTCTTAAATAGATTTGTAACAATGTAACCAGAATATTTTGTTGCTAGTATTTAGTTTGAACTTCATGCATTTTGTCTGTGTTAGATACTATCTACCTGTTTATTACAGAAACCACTCAAGGATTAGAATTTTAAAGAATTTAATTTTGTGGTGTAAGTTAAGAAAAACACACTAGGCCTCTTTAGCTTGGAGGAGACTGAGGGCCAACATCATCAAAATTTACAAATATGTTAAGGGCAAGTGTCAGGATGATGGATCCAGCCTTTTTTCAGTGACGTCCAGTTATAGGACAAGGGGCAATGGGTGCAAACTGGAGCATAGAAGGTTCCATGTAAATATCAGAAAAAACTTCTTTACTGTGAGAGTGACAGAGCACTGGAACAGGCTGCCCAGAGAGGTTGTGGAGTCCGCTTCACTGGAGACATTCAAAACCCACCTGGACACATTCCTGTGTGATGTGCTCTAGGTGACCCTGCCTGGCAGGGGGGTTGAAATAAATGATCTTTCGAGGACCCTCTCAACCCCTAACATTCTGTGATTCTGAGATTCTATTTAATGAGATAATAAGTCTGCTTCGTACACCTCACTTATGATTGTCAGCCTCATGTATTTTCCCAAATAGCTCTCTTTTTACTTACATTTCAGATTTCTAACTATTTAAAGAAAGTTTTATATACCCTCCTCTTTTTTGGTATAAAGACAAACATACACTGATTCCACAGTCTTCCGTAACATGTTCCGCTTGAAGTGCTGAAAATAACCCCCCAACACATATTCCAAATATATTACTTATTATCATAGTGCATGTATGATAGTATTTGCTACACCTAATTCTAACATATAGGCATTTATTCAAATGAATCTTTACCTACTCTTATAGTCAGTAGAACAAGTGAGCCAGAAAGAAGTTTGTTCTGCTTTAGGCAACTGTCAAACTGGGATGTATTGTTTTCAAAAGTTTCCGTCTGTTGTCCATCGCTATTGGATATACAGAGAACATGGGCACCTAACCCAGTCTGAACTTCTGACATTGAGTCTCATGAATTCCACATAGATGGACACAGGTTCTGGGACAGAATAAAGCACCAGTTTAAGTTTCTGAAGTTTATGAGGTCTGTGCTCTATGGTGACACAAATTTGTTTTACAAATTTGTATGCAGCATCATGGTAATTAACATTGCCTATGTCATTGCCAATTCACTATATGCCTTAAATTAGGTATAGGAGAATAATACAGGCAAACACGTATTAAGGTATCTCTATATGTGTGCTCACCAAAGAATATATGTTGGTCTCTGTGATGGAGCTTTGGTAGTGGGGGAGGGGCTACAGGGGCAGCTCCTGTGAGAAGCTTCTGGAAGCTCCCCTGGCTCCAAAGCTGGACCCTGCTCTGGCTGAGGCTGAGCCCATCAGTGACCATGATAATGCCTCTGCAATTAACATGTTTAAGAAAAGGGAAAGGGAAATAGCTAAAAGACCTACAGGAGAGGGAAGAGGGAGATATGAGAGCAATACCTGTACAGATACCAAAGTCAGTGAGGAAGGGGTAGGAGGTGCCAGAGCAGATTCCCCTGCAGCTCATGAAGGACCACTGTGAGGCAGATACAGCCCTGCAGCTGTGGTGGATCCCATGCCAGGGATGGTGTCTGAAGGAGGCCATGACTCTGTGGGAAGCCCATGCTGGAACAGTCTGTTCCTGAAGGACAGCACCCCGTGGGAGGGACTCATGACAGAGGCACTCGTGAAGGGCTCTCTGCTGTGGGAGGGACCCCATGTTGGAGCAGGGGAAGACTGTGAGGAGCGCTCCCTCTGAAGAGGAAGGAGCAGCAAAAAACAATGTGTACTGAACTGACCATAACCCCATTTCCAATCCCCCTGCACCACTGAGCAGGAGGAGGCAGAGAAAGTGGAAGCAAAGCAATTTGGTCCTGGGAAGAAGGGAAGGAGTGGTAGAAAGTATTTTTTAAGACATGGTTTTGTTTCTCATTGTTCTACTCTGATTTCATTGGTGAAAAATGAAATTAATTTTTTCCCCAAGCGGAATCTGTTTTGCACCTGACCATAACTGGTGAGTGAACCCTCCCTGCCCTTGTCTCAACCCATGAGCTTTTAGTTATATTTTCTCCTTCTCATCTCACTGCAGGACAGGAGTGAGCAAGCAGCCATGTGGTGCTTAGCTGCTGGTTGGGTCTAAACCGCAACAGTTAGGTATATTTTGTACAATCATTTTTTAAGGTCTGGAGAATCATGCTGGTGATGAACAAAGATTAGGATTATTTCTTGTGTTTTAGAGAATTTTTTTCTCATCTGTTTTTAAAATGCAGTAATTGTGGTTTTGTTAAACTTATTGGTAAGTATGAACTGACAAAATATCTAATTCAATAGTCTTTCTTCTATACTTTGCTAATATGTTAGAGTGTTTTCAGTGGAGCAGAGTGATCCTTGAAAACTCAGCAAGAGGAAGAATTGCAATAGTTAAACTAGATTCAGTTTGGATACTAATTTGAACAAGTAGTCAAAGTAGGTTTCATTTAAGTATCTGGCTTTCAGCACTAGATAGCAACATCTGAGTACATTAACTGAAATTTTTAATTACGTATAGTGTTGCTGGATGTTGTATCTATTTACTGCTTAACAATTAAAGTTAATTGCCTACTTAATTATATTTGCAGTCCCTTAAGTTCCTGAGTATTTACTCACAATTTATATTGTGTAACTCTAAAAGTGCACTGGTAAAAACAGCAGCAACCTGGTTAGAGAATTAAAAAAGTGATTTTCGAACTGCAGTTTTTGAAGTCAACACGCTCTCCCTGCTCAGGTTAATATGGCTGATCTTGCCTATACAGCAGTAGACTTCTTCAGGATATTATTTGGTTATGATTGCTACTGTCCTGACACAACTAAAGCTAGAGCAAAACAGTAGTTTTGGTGGTGGGTTATTTATTTTTCAATTTGATACATTTCCTACTTCTAAATTTTATCCTTGTCTTTTTAATTATTGCTTTTTCTATACTGATCCAATCCTGAAACAAGAGCAGTTCCATATGGCTCAAACTTGATCTTGTTTTCCCTCTTGTGTAAATTTGGGCAGTACATATGTAGCTCAGAGGAATCTTAAAGCAGAGTGTTTGTATATAAGTAATAATATATTTCAGAAGACCAGATTCTATCAATTTCTCAGAAAATAAGTAAAGACCAAAGGATTTCTTCCTTGTTCTTTGTTTTGTTTTGATTTGATTTGTTTGGTTTTGCCTTGTTTGTTGTTGTTGTGTCATTTTTTTTTCTCCTGAGATGAGAAAAATAGTGCAGAACATACATTTTATATAGAAAAGCAGTGCAAGTGATAAAAATCCCCCGGACAAGACCAGTCTATTCTGAAATTATCATCTTCTTTTGAAATACTTTAGCCTCCTTTACGTTTCTTCTTTTGGACATTATCTTCAAACTGGACCAAATTTTTGTGAAATTATGATTTGTCTGTAGATAGCTATCTGTTGAAGCATAGATCTAAGACCAAACTCATTTCATCCTCATGCTATACTTGTCTATAAAAGCACAATACAAAGCACATCAGACAGTGAAGCAATAATGTTTTTCTAATAAAAAAATATCATATGTATTAGACTTATGATCTTGTTCAAACAATTAATTCCATGGTAATTCCTTGTGGTATTTATTCAGGAAAGACCAAATGGATGCCTTTCTAAAATGAAGTGTCTCCTCTTAGTCAGTAGGGATGGCAGACTACTCATAAACACAGAATGAAGTTTAGATTTCTCTAGTTGAGTGTTATAATCAAATTACAAAATATGAATGTATCTGTAAATATATCCTTTTTCATTAGACTGATATATTAAAATATCATGTGGTTAGCTGTCTGATGATCTTGCTTGCTAGTGTATACAGAAATATTTTTTAATTCACTCTTCTGAGAGCTGAAAGTAAGATTTCATAACAGAAAAAAAGGAACTTGTTATGATAGTATCAATAATTTCTGCATTAAAAATTAATATGTTGCCATAGTTTTGAAAAATTTCTCATTTCCAAGACACGTATATATAATTATATCCTTGAATTGCATTGTTAAATATTAGCACAAGATAAGACACAAGATATTGAACAGAACTAATTTTTATCTTTCTCACTTTTTAAGATCCGGATTTTAAGGACCTTGGTGTTTTGAAACCGTTGCCAGGTTGGTATGTTGTTGTTTGTTTGTTTTAATTTGGAGGCCTTTGCACTCTGCTGTAGAAAATATTTTTGTTTGCTGTTCAGGTTTCATTTTTTCTGGTATTTTGTCATTCAGTTTGTGAGTTTGAGATGGGAGGACCTGAAGGAATTGTGGAATCTGTGCAAATTGTCAAAGAAGGAAAAGCTTCTGAAACTGAAGCAGTAGACTGTAAATGGTATATCCGAGCACCACCTCGATCCAAGGTCAGTCCTTCATCCACTTGCTGATTTGCCATTTAATTTAAGAAATTGACTTTTCTAATATGTTGTGCCTTTCTTAGTACAGTCAGATCTTGCCTGATAACTTCACAGACTGAACGTGTAAACTATTTTTTCCTTCTGTCATGGAAGGATATATGTCACCTCAGACAAAATAACCTTCTTTGTCTATAAGTAATGATGTGGGCAGCGTTAATGTGTTTTTAATGCTGTAAGTAATTTTCTTAAAGTAATCTCTAATTTTTCTCAGATTTTTTAAAAATCAACATTTTCTTAAGCAAGAGGTGGTCTTATCGCTTTAATTTTCAATATATTTCAAACACCTAATTTAGAGACTACTAAGGGAACATTGCTGGCTCCTTAAGGTCATCATCATTTCCCATCTGAGAACTGTGAAAATTAAGCCAAGGTAAATTCATATTCTGCTGTAGCAGACCTTTAGTTCCTTTGGTTTAAAACCACAGACAAAAACAAACAGACATACAAACAAACAAACAAACAAAAAAATAAAAAATTATCTCTCACTCCAGTCAGCAAGACAAGCCTTTGTATCAAACAGAAGGGGGACACAATGAATTTAACAATTCTTGTCTTGCATTCTGTTTCAGTTCCTCTTTTATCGGAGTCTTATCAGTTAATATATGGATGAATTGTTGCTGCTTACACTACTGTTTCTCCTCTCTTTGCAACTGTAACAGCTTTGTGCTTCCTACCTACTTTCATTCACTGACAACTACACGTTATGTTTTTTCCAGCTATCTTTTACTGAACAAGAAAAGTTTTACACGGTATAATTTATATGTTCGTTAATCTCCACCATCTTTAAACAGATAAGGCTTTCTTTTGTGTGTGATCTCAGAGCAGAATGTGTTGAATATCTCTAACTGTTCCAGCATTTGATATTGAATAAGCAGAAGGAAGGGTTTCCAGATGAAAAATCATTAATATCAGCATTTTTCTATTGTGAAAGTTGAGGTGAGGAGCAGAATAGTTGGCTCATAAAGACTGCAGATAAATTATTTCCAGAACATGTTTTAATGTCATATTTTATTTTCTTTCTTTTTCATAAATTCAATTTAGAGGTTTTCAATTAAGTAGATGAGCTACCCACTTTGCTATAGTAAGTAGCTATAGATGTGAAATGAGTGGGATGATAAATTATTATTGCATATATTAGTAGAAAGTAATCAGGTAAACACATTACTAGAACTGTATATCAGAATCTTCACTACTAAATAAGCTAATGAGATTGTCTTATATTTTTTTTATATTCTTAATTTCAGTTTATGCTTAATTGATCATATAATGTCATTGTGATCTTCTTACTTGATCTAACTCTGAAGTTCTGTTAGAGTCAAAGTCCTGATAGAAATCCTATATTTACTTTCCTCTAGGGTTTATCCACACTTCAGTTCCAGTATAAAAATACAAACCGTGTAGCTACATAACCATAGCCACAGTGTTTAAAAGAAGAATGCCACATTACTACTGTTATGAAATAACTGTTTAATTCTTCACAAAATTCTATACCTGCATTTACTTGTATTGTGTTACAAAAAGTGTAGACTAGCTGAAAAGCATCTGGAAGCAAGACTGATGAGAGAGTTCTAGAAAACTTGAGGAAATGTTGGAAGTTGGTTAGTGTCATCTAGAAGATTTTGTGGAGGACCATGACACCTGATAATAAAGGGCTTTTATGAAGAGGAAGGAATGCTTCCATGTCTATAAGATAAGCCATAGTCCTGCACTCCGAAAGAGAAATTCAGGTTCAATACTAGGGATTAGGTAAAAACCTCAGAAAAATGACAGAAATATTAAATAATCCTAACTTTAGACAGAGAGGTGGGCTGGGTTATGTTTTGACAAATCCTGCTGCTCCTATCTCACAGAATTTTCTGGATAGAGAGACAGGGAGATATTAAAGTATGTAAATCAGCATTTCTTAACATGTGAAGTTGAAAACCCCACAGTTTTCAAGCCCAAATTAATCTTAGAGGGGTAACTCAAATTTGGCACTTGAACATTCTTAGTGTGGCTTTCACATATATATACACAAATATATATATATTTGTATGTACACATACACACATATGGTGATGGTATTACCTTACTGGGAAAGGCTGAAAGATTTTCAGATATTAAGGAAGGAATTAATGGATACAATTTAAAAAAAACCCTTTGTATTAAGATTTATGGTCAAATTGTTTATGGGTTTGATTCTATTGCACTAGATCCTATTGTCCATATTTTACAGTCAGATTCCTTTTTGCTTCTCTAACCTTGAACTAATGACATGCCCAAAAAAATAATTCAGTGACATCACTCTAATTTATGGCAGCTTGGACCTATGAAAACAAGCTCTCCTGCTAAGAACAGTGAGAACTAAGCAGACATCTTTAAATCCACATATTTCTGTACTCTGGGCTGCACAGTTTGTTACTGGGAACTATGCCTAAAAGGCCAGAGTTTCTCAGACAGAGTTTGGGTTGGACCTTTATATCTTTAGTTTCTTAATTAAACTGCTCCAGAATGTGGATTGCTTGCAATTTCATTTGGCTTGGGCTCATCCATTCTAACTGTCTGCAGAAGCAAGATGCAAGTCCTTTCCTTGGTTTGCAATTTCAGATTCAAGCCAAGTCTGAGCTCAAAATATGAGCACTGAGACCAGTCAGAGAATATGAACTTGGTATTTCTAAGCCTGAGGTTCAACTGACAGTCTGGATGCAACATTGCAGATATACTCAGCAAGCTAGAATGGGACAGAACAGCAAATGTATTGTACACACTTAAAATAGAGCCATCACTGATTACCTTACAGAACTAAGGTACTGAAGATGCATGGAGAGCTCAAAATGCAGAAGACAGCAAAAGGCAGTTTAAACCCAATATCAATCTAAATGCAGACCTGGAGCCTTATATTTCACATTGAGTGCTTGCAAACTCTGTGTTGCTTGCAACCAGTCATGATCAGTTCCTACTGAGTAAGATAACTATGGATCTGGAGTTCAGAAATACTGAGGATTCTGCACTATTTAAAGAAGCAGAGTTCAAGAGAAGAAGAATGAAAAATGAAGAAGGGAGCTTCTGACCGAAAGTGCCAGTCTACCCAAACAGTCAAGGGCTGGAGAACCCTCCCCATCCTATAATTCTTCACTGTAGAACAAAGCCTTAAGGAGGAAATGGATAAGCTTATCACACTGAAAATTGAAAAACTTCGAAGATATCATTGACTACAGTAGAATCTTAAATAAATACTTTTTAAAGAATAATGTTGATGAAAAGTGTTTTTCTGCTTGATGGTGTTGGCAGAGTATAACAAAAGGCCTCCTATGAGACAGAACACACGTTTGTTCTCAGGTAGTGCTCCCTTTGGTAAGTAACTTTCACAGAGACTGTTTGGTTCCAAGTTTCTGACTGTCAGATTGAGCGTAATCTGGAGAGACAATGGGCTGTTGCACACACCTTTCCTAGATAATTAAGAACAAACATTTGGTGAAGGAAATTGCAGTGCTACAAGTCTTAAAAAACAATCTGACTGATTGTTAAAACAATCTGACTGACATTTTCCTTTCTTGCATGTGAAGTGGAAACGTGCTCTCAGATGAGAGAGCAAGAAAAACAGTTCAAGATGTCAGCACTGGCAAACTAGCATATTCCTAATTTTTGGAAGCTTCTTAATCAGATGTCAAAGAGGAACTTTAAGCAGTACACTACGATTTAAGACATTTGAATGGTGATTCCTGAAATGTTACAGAAAAATGAAATTTAGAGACTGGAAAAACTCATAGCCAGAGACACTTCTACAGGCTTCAGATGAGCTCCATCTCAAGAAGAAGCTTTGAAACTTGCTAACATACAGTTAATTCAAACAGTACTATGAATGAAAAACCCCAACACATCCATATGGCAACCTTGATGAACAAGTTACGTTTAAACAAGTAGACAATACTGTTTGTCTGTGTGAAACAATTAAAATTACTTTTTTGAAATAGCTTTGTTAGATGAAGATGGCAAGACATGTACATGTGTAGAATCATGTATGTAGAATCTCTTCTAGTACGTGTGGTAATACACGGGCCAGAGTAGCACTGACAAAAACCCCCCACTTTTTAGTTAGCAAGAGTCTGTTCCTTTCAGGTGTAGAAATATAACAACCTCAACATCCTTAAACTAAATAGTTGCTAGGGAATGCAATTTTTAAAAATCAACTGATGAAATAATAAAACATCTACAAAAGAGAACAGTAGAATCAGGATGTGATCTACAGTTTTCAATGTTAAAAGCACAACAGCACCAAGGAGCTGTAAAGGCTGTCACTTGCAAGACTTGCAAAAATTCTGCCACTGTATCAGAGAAAAATTTGGATGAGTGGACAGTTAGAATGTCAGTTACTGGGGACTCACAGAAATCTGAAGAAAAAACAAGGACAAAGCAAAGAAATCTGAAGAAGAAAGAAGCAAATAAATCTGTCCAAGAAAATGGTATTTCAATGTCAGAGACTGGCTGTGAATCATGGGATGTTGTACCATGTAAAGTTGTCACCTTCAAGAGACAATACTCTCCAAACCCCAGCAGAGGGGAAAATACGAGATATGGAATTCTCTACTTTCACAGCTAGCCCCAGACTGGTGACTACAGGCCCAAAAATGTCAAGAAAACCAAACCCAAACAAATGAAAAAAGCAAACAGAATATGAACTGTTACCACTTTCAGACTGAAGTAATATTGATTTTCAAAAAAACAAGCTTAAAATCCCAGCAATGGGACAGGCTACTTTAGCAGACAAACTCAGCATCATTAGTAATACGTTTTTTAGGCTGGTATGCTTGTTATCTTTTTTTGCCTTGAAGATTAATTAACATTGTACCACCTGCTTTTAAAAAATGGGCTTCCCAGGCCTAAATACTAGAGGTATCATCTTGAAACTTGTTTGCTAATTGTACAGATCTGAACAAAACTCAAAACAAAGCAAATACTGTAACAGATCACTGAGCAATGGGGAAGATCATAGACCATGTAACTCAGTCCTGTGCTTACAAGAGAATTCACTGAACTTAGAAACTGAATATGCAAAATCTTGCTATTAGACACAGATGAAGAGAAGACTTTTGTCTTACATCTAAATTGCTTTTGGAAGTTGAACAATGGCTTTTTGTTTGGTTGGTTTGGTTTATGTTGATGCATTTTAAAGGACTGTGTAAATATATTAAGTCTGGTATGGTTTGAAGCTTTTCCTGACTGATCTGATCAATCATACTGTCATCCCTAACCTTCAGTGATGGATTAAAAAGCAGAACTCATAAAAATTTATTTACTATGAAGAGATTATAATCTGACTATTTCACTGAAGTGATATGTTATTGATAGTTTATGGTAATTCTTTCTTTTATTTTTCCTAATATACACAGTCAGAGATTTCTGTTGTTTTCAAATTCAAATTAATAATGGTAAAACTTATTCAACATTACCTTTTTTGTTACTATTATGACAAAACAATTATTTAAAATATAATCTGACTGAGTGTAAATATATATGCCATGGTTACAGTAAGGCTTTATGAGTTTTGTTGCTAATGGTGCTGACATCTTGAAGCTCAGTAAAAACTAATACTTGTGCATTAGCTGACTGTTCTTCCAGGAAATGTGGGACTGTTGATTTGAGGAAAGTGTCTTATTAAAACTTTACAACAAAAATGTGAACGAGGAAGACAGGGCAGTCATGCCTCTTCTTTCAAAGAATGTGTTCTTTTCAACAAAGATGTCCCGATTATGCTAGTGCAATATGTCACTACCTCCAGAAATGTTATTCTAAAAGCTCCCATTGGCATAAATGAAAAAAAAAGCCTTGTTGAGGCAGAAGGTGGCATTTGAGTTTGTCACGTCTTATTTGTTAATTTGTGTTCATTCTTTTGGGGGGGCAAAGTTTCTTATACACTGCTGATAAAAGCAATTACTAAGATCTCAGTAAATGAAGGAACCGGAATTATTGATAATTTTTTTCTTACTTTCTGCCTAATGTATTTTAGTGAGATCCACATACTAGTGAAAGTATTAAGAATATTGCTTCTGATTTCAGAAAACTATGTATCAAGAACATTTTGCATAAGTTTGTCATGTAATCACTTTTAATCTTCCCCTGGGGAACTCAATTTATTAGTCATTTTATTTTGCCAGTGTAGGTCTTACAGGAATAATACTAAATATATAGTAATAAACCCATAAAAATTAGCAGAGGTGTGCGCAGATGCAATCAAATTATTCCAGCTTTTTAAAATAAAATCTGATCCAATGTCAGGTTATCAGTTTTTGCAATGAGTTTCCAGTTTTTAAAAATTCACTGCAGTCTTTATCCATAAGTCTTATCCAAATAAACTAAAATGAAATGATACACACTGATTTCAGTGAGCTTTGGATCAAGTCCTCATTACCTTATATAAAGCTCTGGGAATAGTATCTCCAAAGGAGACTGTGAAAATGAAACTCTAACTTAGAGTATCAGGAACATATTTTCTCTAATTCATGCCATTGGGGAAAATGCTGGCTGTCTTCTGAAGCATAGACATAGGTTTTAAAGCCAAATATTTCTTTCCAGTGGTTCCAGTACTTAGCAGTTTTATATATGCCATGACAATAGATGAATTTATCATACAGAGAAATTAACACTCATGACCGACCACAGAATTCAGGCTTGGGAAGAACTGGAAGTGTTGGCTTCTTCACTGAAAGGCTGAAAATGAAATTTTAAGTTATCATTTTCTTGAGTCATTGTCAGAATTTAAAACTGCTACTCTATGAAATATTTTACTATTTTCTAAGGCTAGTGTGCCACCAGAAACTAGAGACTGCCAATGATAAACCCATAGAAATAAGACTTCAGCTGTACTGTTAGTCACATGGGAGTCAGGCTCTTCTCTCAGGTACTCTCAGGATGATGAGATGAGAGGGCATGGTCTGAAGCTGTACCAGGGGAGGTTTAAGTTGGGTACTAGGAAACACTTCCTCATGATCGGACATTGGAATGGACGGCCCAGGGAAGTGGTGAAGTCACCATCCCTGGAGGTGTTTAAGGAAAGATTGGATGTGGCACTTAGTGCCATGGTCCAGTTGATGTGGTGGTGAAAAGTCATAGGTTGGACCTGATGATCTCAGAGGTCTTTTACAGCCTCAACAATTCTGTAATTCTGTGTTCCTGTGAGCACTGTGTTGAAAGAGGTCAAGAATAATTGATTGATCCTTTCAAGACAGTCTTGAAAGAAATTTCTTGTAAGACTGGAAACTGATATAAATTACACCTCAATACTGAAACTGGATACACTGTACAAGATGTTTGTGTGTTTATATATGTGTATACACACATATATATTTAAATATAAATCTATATATTATCTAAATATAAATGTTATATATATATATAAGAGCAGTACAGAAATAAAGAATATAAATAAATAAAGTAAGCATTAAGGATGTTTCCCCCATTAAGGAAAATACAGTTTTTTCTGCAGTCAAACCAAGGTATTTTTTTTCTGGAGTAAGTAAAAGCTTTCCTGAAGAAGGTAGTAAAACAAAAATAGTATATATATGATATATATTATATCTGTATGGTTTATCATATCCATGTATGGTATAATAGAACATATGCATGGTATACAGATGATAGGCATATATGACATAAAAGATTATAGCAATAATATGTTTGAAGCCTTCTGTGCATTCCTATGAGGTACTTATCTGACTTGTTTACTTCCTGGAAAGCAATCATGTGTATATAATATTACATTTAGTCAGTTACAGGAGGTTTTTATTGCATTACCTGTGACAAATCTGGCAATTGCTGAAGCACCTATCTGAAGCCAGCAGCTTCTGTTAGTGAAGGAAAGAAAAGCAAGATGCACATGAAATTCCCCATTCCAAGTGAAATGTTATGCAGAGATGGATCATGGACTATGTCAGCAACTTTACAAGAAAGGCTGGGTGCCAGGGTTTCACATGGCCTGTTAAACTCCTGTTTGAGCAGAAACAAATGGTCTCTAGGACACAGAAGCAGCTCTTCAGTATGTCCCAGCTATGGCCGGTTGCTGGGTGTGGGTATCATAGCTCTGTGTCTGCTGAGCTGTTCTGGAGGATGGGAATGTTGGAACAAAAGTAGGGGTTGTTGTAAGAAATACGCAACCTTTTGTAAGGAAAAGGTTAGCAAAATGAAACTTAATATATAAAATTTTATATGCTAGTAAAATTGCTTTAGAAATGTTATTTTCAGAGAACTAGTTGCAAAGCGTAACAAGGAATTAAAATGTACCATAATACACCGTCTGAAAAGGCTCGTTTAAAAATCTGAGCTATTATTAAACAGTGGCAAACTGCTTAATAGCACGTATTTCTCAAACCATAAGAACTATAATATATTAATTAAGTTGTGATTCTTGTTGCTACTAGGAAATGCTATGTTTTTGTACTTGATGCAAATCCACAGCAGCTTTTTCAGCAATTGTTCAGTGCATGCGAAAAAAACTACCTAGAGTTAGCAAGATTGTTTGTAAAGAAATGTATTTAATGTCTAATACAATGGAGTTTCTTTCTGGCTATTTTTTAAACGTGAAGATACATGTAGCTTGATGCTAGATATGTTTACTGGCTTTTCATGTTATTTCTGCTCTACTTCATCTTTCTGTATCATTCTCCTGAAGTCTTCTGCATGTGCTTGGTAGTTTGATTATGAATCACATGTCTATTGAAAATATTACTTAGCTTCTCTGTTACTGGAATATTTATGTTGCTTGCATTAACAATTGCATTTAAAATTAGCAATTTTCCCTATTAAAGTCCATATAGAATTGAATTTCAAATAATAGCATTTTTCCTCACCTCTGTTTCTTTTCAAATAGATTTATGAGGTCTTTGCAAAGGGCAAGACATCTGTTACATTTATGAGAGAATTCATCTTTTATACAGGAGACAATTCCTAAAAAAAAATTCAAAATTTCTAGCAGTTTCCATAAAATATGCTTGATTTAAAGTTTGTTAAATTATGAAGATGTATACCATAAGGCTTTATTTAGAAAAGCTGATACACTGGCCAAATTGCTTGAGGAAACAGTAAAAGATTAATGATTGAGTTCTGCCTGGCTTCCAGATTCTCACTTCCTAAATCAGTGTGGCTGAGACACATCACAAAGATGACACACATTGACTCTGGGAAGGTACCAGCAATTATTAGCCTTATTGTTTTCCATGTCAGGCAAGTAATAGAGCAATAATATGCCAGTCGGCAACAGAAGAAATGTCTAGCTTGTCTGTCTTTTAGCTTGAAGGACTGTTGTGCATACTTCTCAAAGACAGTTATATATATGGAAATTAGGACCTTACTGCAAAGAAGAACAAAAATACCTAGATCTTCCACTGGATTCTACTTTGAAACAATACAAAATAGTAGGAAGCACAAACAGTGATCGGTTTCTGTACTAATGCCCATCCAGGGAAGTGGTCTATGGATCATCAGCTCCAGAAAAATTATTTTGATGGTGACATTGTGTGGTCTTTCTCCCAGAAGGTAGAGCAAAGATGTTTAATTTGTATTCAGTCATTCTCAAATATCTGTACCTGTTGCCCTTGCTTTTTGTTTGTTTCATAGATCTATTTGCGGTTCTTGGATTATGAGATGCAGAATTCCAATGAATGCAAAAGGAATTTTGTAGCTGTCTATGATGGAAGCAGTTCTGTGGAGGATTTGAAAGCAAAGTTTTGCAGCACTGTTGCTAATGATGTAATGCTACGGACAGGTCTTGGTGTGATCCGTATGTGGGCAGATGAAGGCAGTCGAAACAGCCGATTCCAGATGCTCTTCACATCTTTCCAAGAACGTAAGACCTTATTCAATGCATCCTCTTTTAGTTTGTTAAATTATACAAATCCCAAAAAACTGTTAATGGTTTTTTATCCATGCAGAATAGTCACTGAAGAATGTTCCCAAGCAAGTTATAACTGTTTTTATTCCAAGCATTTATAGTATGTAATCATATGTAACACAGTGGATAGAGCACAGGATTCAGAGGCAGAAAGACAGGTATGAATAGTCACAACCTGTGCAGACACATGATCCTCAAGCTGCTGTGCACCATGTCTTGATGTGTCCTTACACAACATGGGAAGCAATACAGCTCTGGATATTTTTATTAAGGCTGATCTTTTTCTGTGAATTTGATTTTTTAGATGTCATTATAATGGGTATTTGAAAAATACCTTGTGATTATTTTATCACAGGTCATGGGTGTGCTTGTGCATATTCCAGAATGCATATATCAATAAGCCTATATGTCATATACTGTTAAGCAAAGAAATTAGTTAATTTTCTGTAGTAACAAAAGTTTTCTGAAAGCTTTACATGATATTTCACTTAATATTCTCTCTTTGTGCCTTGCTTGCATTCATAAGTTTATGATTTCTGGACTCAGATAATAAGACAAACAGCATTTCAAAGAAACAAAATTCAGTTCTAGACAATTAAAAAAAACCCAAACAACTAACAACAAAAAAAATAAAACCCCAGTGATCCCATTAACTGAAAAAGATCAACTCAGGTAATCAATCACAGGTGAAGGATATTGATTTGTTTTCTTTGATGGAAATAATGCATATTTTGGCCCTTGAAGAATGAGTATACATGCTCATTTTTAATGTATTTCTTGGTTTGTGCATCATATTTCTGACAGAAAGATTTCTGCATTACTGTCAGAGGTTGGAATGAAGACACAATCTTACCAAACACATTCTTCATCTGTATTCTCTGTGTGTGTACCCTGTGATGAAGCGATGAGGCTCTGTTGAGAACAGCCTCTGTAACTCCTTAATTATGGCTCTGATTAAAAATTTCTGACAGTCTACATGCCTGGAACAGCACACACCACTGTACTTTCAGAATGCAGCCTTAGGGTGGATTATTTTTTTCTTGCCTGCAAATCAGGCCAGGGTCTAAAAAATATTAGGAAAACTCAGTTGTAATGATATTGCCCTTTCCTCTTTTTTTTTGCAACTGAAGAGGTCTTGAATATTCAAGATCTGATTCATTTTTTTCACAACACATCCTCATCTGTTACCTTAGAAACAACTGCCTAGACACTGGAGGTTCACAGCATATAAAGAACTGGAGTGTGAAGCACTATGATGACTTACTTGAAATGAAGGCTTGAATAAGCGTTGTTTGCAAGGCTTTCATATATTAAAGGAGCATAAGGAAGAATGTGCTCTTTTTTCCCTTATACTTTTCCCAGTATGCTTACCTGACATGTGACACCTTTCTACTCCATTCTTGTAAACTGATGATAGTTTATATTGCATGGTATTCTGACTGGGAAGTTGAAAATACTAGCTTAATGTGTTTTCTGGAAATTTATTCTGAACCATCATTGCATGCTAAAAGTTGAAAATTTATTAAGGGATAAATTGTGCTTTGAGATATGTATGCACAGCCTGCTCATAAATATTACGAGGAACTGCATCAGTGTTTTTTGTGCTGGAAGTTGACTTTAAAGGCTCAAAGGTGATGCCAGTTCTACTTTCTGTGTCATGTCTGTTGTCCATAAGTGCTGCCCTATGCCACACATTGGTGCTTGCAGTCAGAAGTCAGCTAGAGCAGATGTCTGGTGTATGCATTGCAAGACAGCTCATAGCATGTAAACTGCAATGTCTTTCAGCAGTGTGTGGGAATAATTAGATCATCTGCATGGAAGAGAAGGAATGTCAGACCTCATTCAGGGAGATGTGCATCAGGGAACAGACACCTGTGTCTCTACTTGAGGAAAAAGAGAAAAAAAGCCATTTTGTTCACCTAGATCTGAGAAAGAAACAAAATAGAAGATGACATTTGCGTTGTGTTATG